GGGGGAGGCTAGATAAGAAATGAAAACATAGGACTTTATTTATATACACTAAGAAAACAGTTGGCTATAGCTTTGAGAGAATGCAGAATATGTAACCTTTATTGCTTAACTTAAATGTTAAATTATGAGTACAAAATCACTGGGCAAAAGACCCCCACCAGCATATTCAACACAATTCTTTTTTATTTATTTATTTATTTATCTTTATTAAATTTTTATTGTTCAGATTATTACATTTGTTCCTCTTTCTTCCCCCCATAACTCCCCTCCTTCCAGCTCCCACCCCACCCTCCGCCCTCACTCCCCACCCACTGTGTTCATCCATAGGTGCATGATTTTTGTCCAGTCTCTTCCCGCATCTCCCACTCCCCTTTTCCCCCCAAGAATAGTCAGTCCATTCCCTTTCTATGTCCCTGATTCTATTATAATCACCAGTTCATTCTTCAACACAATTCTGTATCAGGTTTCCAGAGAGTTTCAGGGGTCTTGGAATGTGTATATTTCTAAAAATATAAAAGTTATATCAGAAATCAATGGGCAATACCAAACCCTGTTGATTTATGACCACTGATTTTTTTAAAATTGTAAATTAAAAATATAACTAACACACCTTCGCTTTAAAAAAAATCAATACGGTACAATAGGATATGTAATAAAAGTCAGTTCATCCTTATTTCAGACCCCAGTTCTACTCACCCAGAAAGCCATCATCGCAGTTTCTTGTTTCCTTCCAGAAACCTTCTCTATAGTGTACATGTACACATTCACATTATCCTTAAAGAAAAAAAGGAAATATATTTAGAAAGTTCTTGTTATTTGAGGATAACTGGACTTGGGAAAGTTTACATAAAGTGAATCCACTTAAAGTTAGCACACATGTTTCATAGTAAATATTGATTCAATTCCTGCTTCGTGCCATGTGTTTTCTTAAAGAGAAGATGTATAATCCAGAATTCTAATATTTTTATTGCCAGACTTCTAATGCCAACTCTGCATTGGTCAAGCTTAATGGAAGGTCACAATAGTAGTTACAATAGTTACAATAGTAGTAGGCTTAATCTCTGGCATGACTTGAGACACACAGCCTCATTGTTTTTTGGTGGTAAAATACACATAAAACTCATTATTTTAACCAATTTATTATTTTTTTGTTTTCTTAAATTTTTATTTATTGATTTGAGAGAGACAGAGAGATTGATTTGTTGTTTCACTCATTTATGCATTCATTGGTTGATTCCTGTATGTGCCCTGATGGAGATTGAACCCACAACCTTGGCGTATGGGGACAATGCTCTAACCAACTGAACTACCCTGCCAGGGCCCATTTTAACCATTTTAAAGTGTAAGATTCAGTGGCAGTAAGTACATTCACAATGTTGTTCATCCATCATCACTATCTAGTTCCAGAACTCTTTCATCACCCCAAAAGGAAACCCCGTAGCAATCACTTCCTATCCTCCTCTCCCCCAGCTCCTGGTAATCACCACTCTGCTTTCTTTCTATATGGATTTGTCTATTCTGGATATTTCATGTAAGTGGAATCATATATACATATGTGGCTTTTGTATCTGGCTTCTTTATTTAGCATAATGTTTCCAGGATTTATCCACATTGTAGTACTTCATTTCTTTTTCATGGTCAAATAATATGCCATTATATGGATATACCACCTTTTATTTATCTATTCATTGGTTGATGGACATTTGGGTTGTTTCCACCTTTGGCTTTTGTGAATGAATATTCATGTGTAAGTTTTTCTTTTAACATCTGTTTTCAGTTCTTTTGGGTATATACCTGTCAATGGAATTGCTGGGTTCATGTGTAATTCTAGGTTTAACTTTTTGAGGAAACATCTAATTCTTTGAATCTCTCTGATGTTTGTCCCTTTGTTCTGTACCCTAATATAGATGTCTCCTTATATCATTAGTCTTGCAAATCAGGGAAGATTAATTAATTAATATCTGGATTAATTGATTAATATCTGGTTATTAGTCAAGTTTAACATTCTGAAATTAGCATTATAATAGTAAGTCAGGTGTCACCACATATTAAACTTTAAATACAGAAAGCTATATAATATTGATTTTATATTATATGTCTGCTCTTAATTAATGTAGTCAATGCACTGGGCTGTCAGAGGTAAAAAAGATCGAATGCTGGAAGAACCTGACCAGACTCCTACCAACAAGATTGAAAATGAGGAACAGAACGAACAAAGAGAAATAAAGAAAGGAGAGTTGGGTTCAACCACTGAGAAGATGGAGCAAAAAGAATCTGAGTCCTTGGAGAAGTCATCCTCCCCACAGAGTCCAGATTCTTCAAGTAAGTCATGTCATATAGCTTTGCAGACAAAGAAGGTCTGAATCTCGCCAAATTTAAGGGTTGGCTTGTCCTTAAACACTTACTTAGCATTGACATGGAAACTAGATGATAAATTCTTTTTTTTAAAATTAGTATGATATTCTTTTTTAAATATTTTATTGATTTTTTTTTTTTACAGAGAGGAAGGGAGAGGGATAGAGAGTTAGAAACATCGATGAGAGAGAAATATCGATCAGCTGCCTCCTGCACACCTCCTACTGGGGATGTGCCTGCAACCAAGGTACATGCCCTTGACCGGAATCGAACCTGGGACCTTTCAGTCCACAGGCCGACGCTCTATCCACTGAGCCAAACCAGTTAGGGCTAGATGATACATTCTTTAACACAATCCTGGTAAAGGGAACTTTGAGATATTTCTGGGAGTGTCTTCCTCTCCACTGAACTAATGTTAGCTAACATTGGGGAATTTACTATGTGCAGGAATGTTTTCACAGGAATTAGTTTACATCTATTATCTCCTTTAATATTAATGTTACACACATTTATTTAATCCTCCCTACAAGTTTGTGAGGTTGGTATCAACATTATTCTTATTTTACAGATGAGGAAACTGAAGCCCAGAGAGGTTGAGTAATTTTCTCAAGGTTATGGAGATTGTGTGGCAGGGCAGAGGTCTGAACTAAGGCAGTTTGGCTTCAGTCTGTTTCTAAGGCACTGCACTATCTTGAGAAGATGCCTTATCTGAAAGTAGCTCTGTAGAGATTCTGAATCTTTTATAGATCCACGGAAGCAGGGTGTTAGGAGGTTGAAATCCTGGCTCCCAAACTACACATCCTGACTCTACTACTTATTGTCTGTATTACTTGGTAAAAGTTACTCAACTTCTCTAGACCCAGTTTCCTCATCTACAAAATAGAAATCATAATGGTACCTTCTCAAAGGCTTATCATCAGGATTACATGAGGAGATCCATGCAAAATGCTTAGCACAGTGATTTGTCTATAGCAGGCCCTGGGTAAATGTGAGCTATTATTATCATTTCTTTGTTTGTCTGTGTAGCCATTCCACTGTGTGTCTTGTGTCGATAGGTGTGTTATGTACACACACTGTAACTGTCCTTCAAAATCTTATTTGATTTCCAGGGTTGTGATTCAACACTCCATTAGATTTTAGCCTTTAAACAGAAGGTTCCTGAACATCCTTGAACACCTATTTAATAAAAGAAGACAAGTAGATAGTTTGTGGTGAATTATAATCTTTCTAGAAATGGTCACTTCAAATCTCTCTTTGGGGAGAACTTATAAGTGCTCACTACTTTCTGGGAATAAAGATTCTTAGAGTTGGATTCAGGTGTTAACCAAAAGATCATTTTGTAGTCTGTAAATTGACTGCATCAGCCTTGTAACCGGAAATGTGTTACAGCAAGCTGATCAAAGCTGAAGCCCGAATGTTAGGAAACCGGTTTTAAGCAACACACACATGCAACCCCCCCGCCCCCCCCCCCCCACACAAAGGCAAACATGCAAATGTTTCTCCATTCAGCCTTGGAAAGTTCAGATCTGTCCCTCTCTAAATCCTGGAGGGTGCCTGTGACTTTCTATTTTGGGTTTAGACTTCACCAGAACTTGGGGCGTTGGACACTTTAGAGACTCAGGCATGATGCTGAGGCCCCACTTGACTGCCTGTCATAAGAATCTGAAAATTTCTTTAGAAAAGTTATATAGCCCAGCCATTGTGGCCCAGTGGTTGAGCGTTGATAAGAAGTTACTGTTTGGCCCTAACCTGTTTGGCTCAATAGATAGAGCGTCGGCCTGCGGACTCAAAGGTTCCCAGGTTCGATTCCGGTCAAGGGCATGTACCTTGGTTGCAGGCACATACCCAGTAGGGAGTGTGCAGGAGGCAGCTGATCGATGTTTCTCTCTCATCGATGTTTCTAACTCTCTATTCCTCTCCCTTCCTCTCTGTAAGAATTCAATAAAATATATTAAAAAAAAAAAAGAAGTTACTGTTTGGATTCCTGGTCAGGGCACACACTCAAATTGTGGGCTCGATCCTCAGTAGGGGGTGTGCCAGGATGCAGCTGATCTATGTTTCTCTCTCATCGATATTTCTATCTCTCTATACCACTCCCTTTCTCTCTCTCTAAAATAAGTAACAACATATTTTTAAAAAGTTATAAACATGTGATAAACCCCCCAAATAATGAGCTTGTCATTTAAAAAAAATCAAAGAATTATATAAACATAACTTAGTGTCTACCCCAGTCTCCTATCTTTCTCTGCTTCTGTTTCCTAAAGTAACCAATGCAGATGCCCAGGTGTGTCTCCTTCCATACTGTTCCATATGCTGATACAAGCATATATGAAGAACAGTATATGTTTACTCATGAGGGCTTTAAAAATATAGAACAGCCATACACTGAGCACATTTCTCTACGTTACACAGGAGCTAAGAGCACTGTGGCCTTAACCAGATCCCAGCTTTTCAAACCATGAGTTGTGTGGCCTTGGGCAAGTGAATGTGGATGAAAAAAGGCTTTTTATGGAAAGTCACCGCACAGGGTGATCTGATCATAAATTCCTAACCGGGCAGTTGGATTCAGGTGTTAACCAAAATCCTGCCCCAGGCATGTAACTGATTTAGTAAAAGGCTTATCTTGGCCTTAATCAAGTTCTGTCCATGGTGTCGGTGCTTCTAGGTTAACACACCTTTGAAATGCCTCTTTTCAGAGCTCTCCTAAACTGTGACCACCCTCAAGAGAGCACATATTCTTAACCTGTAATCAGATCGCAATCCTCCTTACATTCCCTCCTTAATCTCAAAATACATACAGAGACTACAAACTGTTATTCTAGGAAACATTTTTCTGTCTGTTGAGCTCTCACTTCCAGGTATATCCTCTGTTTAACTCAAACAATAAATTTTTATAAAAATTCTCTACAGTTTGGACATTCTTATGTTAACAAGAGTTAATCTCTTTGATTTTTTTAAAAAAAATCTGTATACTAGTGGCCTGGTGCATGAATTCATGCACATTGAAAGAAAATTCATTAGAAGAAATATTTTAAAATCACTATTTGCTCTTTCTCTATAATAGAAGTGTCAACCAAATTTATGATTGACAATGACAGATGGAAACACATGTGTGCAATTGGCACCAGTGAGAGCTTTATATGAATCGCGCATGCGAGAGTCAACTTAGCCTTTTATAGATATAGGATAAACTTGCTTAATTAGACCTGCTTTCTGATTTAGCTAAACTTTTTCAGCCCAGTGAAGCACCCCAACTTCTCTTTCAGGTAATTATCAGCAACACAGCAGTAAATATCAACACGAAGCAGATTATTATTGTAGATCATGCAGGGAGAATAAAGGGTAAAATATTTAACTGCAGCAGTGTTTGACTATATTCTGTGCAGTGAGAAAACCTGAAGTCATTTTCAAAGTCCACCATTTCTTACTTCTTTTCAGTCGGGTCAAGTTTCTTAGCTTTATAAATCTTCGTTTTCTGGCTAATGAAAAGAAAATAGGATTCCACGGAGTCTCCTATCTACCTACTCCAGGACTTCTGTGAGGATCAAATGAGATGAGGCACAGGAAAACACTTCACAGATATTTGGTTACAGTGTAAAAATGTTTGCACCTGGCTATAAAGCAAGTCATGTTTCTGGGCTGAAGAAACTCCAAGGAGGCTCATCACTACAGAGAAGAAGCCGGGCATTGCTATGTGATGTCATTACCCGGACGGACACTTAGCATATTAGCCTTTTATACACACACACACACACACACACTTAGATAATGGTTAAAATAGTAGTTTCTACTTCTAAAGGTTATGTTTTTGGTATGAATTATTACTATCTTACAGTAATTGATTAAGTTAAGCAAACTTTTTGAGGAGTAAATAATATACATAAAATGTTTCCATCGGGTATGTAAATTTTTTTTTTTTAGTGTCAGATTTTATTATTATGGGACTTCTCCTTAAAACTTTACTTTTAGAATTAACTCATTGTTTCTAACAGCTGATAAATATTCCACAGCGCAGATATATCAATATTTTACTCAGGATAAATTGTGAATGAAGTGGAGGGGGTGAGAGGAGGAAGGATCCTCGTTCTGAGAGCTGTTTGTTGGAGAATAAGAATCATGAAATTTTGCCAAAGGCTGCATTTACCAGTATTTTCTTTGTTTTTTGTTTTGTTAATCCTCACCCAAGGATATTTTTCCCATTGATTTTTAGAGAGAGTGGAAGGGAGGGAGGAAGGGGGAGAGAAAGAGAGAGAAACAGGGGCCAGGGATTGAACCTGAGACCCTTGGGTTGGAGGGCCGACACTCTAACCACTGAGCAACACTGGCCAGGGCCTACCAGTATTTCTTAGTGTTGTTTAAGATATTATTAGCTGTTCTGAGTAGTGCCTTAAAGTTGGAGTTTGATATACCAAAGAGCAGTTGCATGATTATTTATAATTTCATTTGACTGTAGTGCAAATTTTTATGTCAGCATTTAAGAAATATTACTCATGTCAGCTTTACTAAGCCCGAGAGGCTGCTCACATAACTTTTAAGCATACTTGTTAATTTCCTCAAGCAATGCTTGATATTTACTTTGGAGTTTGCCTTTTGATGCCTCTTCTGTGATGAGCCATCAAATAGTCCCCGTCATCTGCTTGACTTCATTGCAACCTGTAAAATATGAACCATGGCATCTGCAAACCAGCGTGTGAGACAATCTCACTTTTTCTCTTTCCATTTAAATATGCAATGAATGTGGCTTCTGATAAATACTGTTTTAGAATCAAATAGTTTTCTGTGACATCCTGGAATAAAAACAAACAAAAAGTCAAAGGTAGCAGATGCTGTTGCTGTGCAGTCATGTCCTCGGGGCTTCTGCCCGCCCCAGGCCGGGCCGCCTGTGTGCCTCGCATTGGGCTTCCTCTGGCAGAGGCCTGCCTGGCAGCAGGTGCGATGTGAGAAGATGTGGTCAAGCAAAAGGAAGAAAAAACAACTTGTAATCTTACCACCTCAAGAACATATCGCTGATCTTTTGGTATATTTTTATATGTTAGTGTACTTAAAACTAAAAGGGCCACACTGTCCATATTTTGTGTGTGCCTTTCAATTACAGGTTGTCAGAAAGAATTTCCTGTTTGCTTTTTCTCCAAATGGAAATTCTTTAAATTTGTTTTCTATGATAATTCTAAAGAAAGTGCAAGCAGATCCTGTTTTTCTGAGATAATCACTGTCCTCAATTCTGTTTGTATTTTTTCTGCCTAGACTTTTAGATAATCGTTTAAATATCAATGGAAGCATATTTTATTTTTCTGTAACCTGCATTTTCATTAGCAATATTATAAACAACAAAAATGACAAAAGGCATACATGTTCACTGCAGAAAAATAAGAAGATACAGATAAACAGAAAAGGGTATTAAAAAATGAAAATTACATCTATTCCAGCTATCCAGGAATAACTACTGTTAACATTTAGGGGTAATTCCTTATAGACTTTAAACATTTTTTATAGAAATACCCATGTAAATAAGAAATTTAAAAATGAGTCTGGCTGTTGTGGTTCAGTGGTTGAGTGTCAATTTATGAACCAAGAGATTACGGTTTGATTTCCAGTCAGGGCACATGCCCAGGTTGCTGGCTTGATCCCCAGTAGTGGGTGTGCAGGAGGAATTCAGTTGATAAGTCTCTCTCATCATTGATGTTTCTATCTCTCTCCCTCTCCCTTCTTCTCTCTGAAATCAATAAAAACATATTTTAAAAAATGGGATCACACTGTTTTCTAACTACCTGTCACAGCAATATGTTATGAGCATTTTAATGTGACTGTAAGTATTAAAAATTGTTAATGACTATATCACAGCCTTTTAACCAACTTTCTATTGCTGAATACTTGGAATGTTTTTTAAAAAAATATGTTTTATTGATATTTTTAGAGAGGAAGGGAGAGAGAGAGAGAGAAACATCGATTGGCTGTCTCCTGCATGCCCCCTACTAGAGATTGAGCCTGCAACTCACTCATGTGCCCTGACCGGAATTAAACTTGTGACCTAGCGATGCATGGAGATGATACTCAACCAACAGAGCCACACAGGCCAGGGCTGTTTTTTTATTTTTAAAAACATTTATAAAAGGTATCATGTTAAACATCTTATAGTTAAAACCTGTGAGCACATCCATGACTATTTCCTTAAGATAAATTTTCAGAAGTACAATTGTTAGGTTAAATGTTTATGCATTTTAATGAGTTTGATAAATATTGCAAGTTTCCTACCCAGAATAGTTTTGTCAGTTTACATTTTCTCTAGTAGAGGGAAAATGACCTTTTATCTAATTTTCAACAAAGTTGTTTATTACTCTAAAAAAATAAATCTTACTCTCATGGAATACATTATTTGTATTTCCAGAATCCTTTACCATTGACCTTTTATTTTTGGCAGCTGTTTGAAAGTTGTTTCCAATTTCCTTGCAGGTGAATTGTCAAAATTACCACCACTGGAGGCATTATAAATGTCCTTTTATTATTAAGTTTAAGCATGTGAGATCCTCTCATCCATATAAAATAAATCCTGTTCACAAGAATTCAACATCCTGCCCAAGTTAATCAGTTTCTGTAAGATATTAATAATTCATCCCAAAGACTTACCCTTACATTTCACTTATTGCAGTGAAATCTCACCAGCAAGCTGTCCTACTATTACAAGCTTGACTCCTTTGTTCCCACCTCTGATTTAAAAATCTTCTCTTCTCTCCTTCAAAGGTTTTTCAGATGTGAACAGTTGGCACCTTCATTTCCGCTGGTCGGGGGATGCTCCTTCAGAACTCCTGAGGAAATTCAGAAACTATGAAATATGAAATGTCCCTGCTCAGTAGGAGGGAGAGCGAGTGAGCAAGACCACCCCCTGTGCTGCCAACATGCAGTCTTTGTCCAAATCTTTAAAATGTCATGTTTATATGTCATGTTTGTGAATCGCTGAGTACCGATTGATTCCTCCACCCTTGAACCCATTCTCACAATATGTCTTTTAAATTAGAGAAATTTCAGAAGACAAGTTTCTTTTAATATTAGAACAAATTAAGCCTCGTAGATCCAGAGTGGATTGTATTATGTGTGTTTTCTGATAAATGTTATTTAGAGAAATCCATTTTTAAATCAATCTCTGTATTTAAATATTTCATTGATATATGATGATCTCTATTAGTACAGAATGTAAAAGAAATGTTTTCTGACTCTGGACTTAAATTGAAATGTGAAATTACTTGTCTAAACCCCATAGAATGAAATAAATAATTTTCCCAAAGTTCATAATGAATGTAGAATTCAACTGTTTTGTTTTTTTAAATAATCTGAATAGGTATTTCTACTTTAATTTCAATACTTGTAAATTTAAAAGGTTATTAATTTGAGGAAACACACCCCTACCAGATTTCTTTTGTTATATAGCAAGTGATCAGAAATTTATTTTCTTACAGTTTGAAGGCTTGAAGTCCAAGGTCAAGGTGTCTGCAGGTTTGATTTCTCCTGAGGCCTTTTTCCTTGGTTTGCAGGTGGCTGCTTTCTCACTGTGTCCTCACATGGCCTTTCTCTGTGCATGTATATCCCTGGTGTTTCTACTTCTTGTAAGGACATTGGTCATATTGGATAAGGGCCCCAACCTAACAACCTTCTTTTAAATTAATCATCTCTTTAAAGACCTTATCTTCAAAAAGGTTACATTCTGAAGTACTGGGAGTTGGGACGTCAATATAAGTATTTTGGCCCTGGCTGGGTAGCTCAGCTGGTTGGAGCGTCATCCCCATACAGAGTGTCATCCCCATACTCCAAGGTTGAGGTTTTGATCCCAGTTGGGGCACATGAGGGAATTAACTAGTGAATACATAAGTGGGTGGAACAGCAAATCGATGTTTGTCTTTCTCTCCCTTCCTCCTTCTCTAAAATCATTACATAAAAAATTACTTCAAGATATGAAATTTGGGGGAACCCAATTAAGTGAAAACCTTTCTCCCCCAAATATTATTGTTTTATTGATTTCAGAGAAGAAGGGAAAGAGAGATTGAAATGCCTCCTACTGGGAATTGAACCTTGACATCCTGGTTCATAGGTCAATGCTCAACCACTGAGTTACACTGGTGGGGAGAAAAAAAAATTTTTTTAAACAAATACAATCCTGTATTGGTTTCCTTAATTTTATTTGAAATTTTATTGTTTTGTCAAATCTGTAGAGAGAATGATTTCTATCAGTATTTTATCACTTCATTAAAATGTTATTTGGCATTGTTACCATATCTGCAAATTTTACTTTAAAAATAGAAAAAATATAAAGCCTGTTAAATTAATAAAATGAGGTTTTGGACTACAATTGCCTGCCATAATGCCTGCCCGGTCCAGGTAGGCACTTGAAAAAAATACTAGATTGAATAAGTGAATTTTTAAATCTAAGAATTGGAGTTTTAATTTTTTCTCCCAACCCCCCATTGTCTGATTCATAGCACTGATGACTTTTAATGACTTGTTAAAGGGAAAAACACTCCCACTTCCATGGCCCACTCTGCTTTTTTACAGATGGATTTCCCAGTTATTGACAGGAGTGAAGGCCAGCTCTTACGTACTTTTCTCTCCCATGAGGCTGGCAGCCTCCAAATAAGAAATGAGAAAGAGCTCTGCTGGAATGGGGATTTATGATGGGCCAGGCTTGTGCTAAGCACTTCATATATTTGTGCTAAGCACTTTATGTAACGTAGTAGGAGATCTTTTATTCTTAAACACTTAAATACTCTCCTGGACTCAAAGTTTAAAAAGGACTGTGTGTTGATTATACAGTTTTTCTCTTGGAATGAAAAATAATGGGAAAACTGGACAACTTTTCTTCAATAACTTGTTTGACTCCCCAGTGTATTCAGCACAGTCACAATTGTACGTATGTATAATAGCACATTTTCAAAGCCATTTATTTTTGAGTTTTGGCTTGACTTCATGGCGGAACAAAACAATTATTAAAAGGTAAATAGATTAAGGTCATTAGGCTTTTAAGTCAGCTCTAAATGCTAAAGATAATTAGTTTCTCTTATATTTGATATTGCATGAATAAATGAATGTGGTACATATTTCTTGAGAGCATTATTATTATTATTTTAAAATCTTTATTGTTAAAAGTATTGTTACCTATGTCTCTTTTTTTCTCCCATTAACCCCTTATAGCTTGCCTCTGTCCCTCACCCCAGGCCTCCACCACCCTATTGTCTGTGTTCCTGGGTTATGCATATATGCTGCATATATGTTCTTATATCAGTTCTTTGGTTGATCTCTTCCCACCCACCCCTGCCTTCCCTCTGAGATTCAACAGTCTGTTCCATGCTTCTATGTCTCTGGAACTATTTTGTTCAACAGTTTATTTTTTCATTAGATTCCACATATGAGTGAGATCATGTGATACTTGTCTTTCTCTGACTGGCTTATTTCACTTATCATAATACTCTCCAGGTCCCTCCATGCTGTCTCAAAGGATAAGAGATCCTCCTTTTTTTTTTTTTTTTACTGCTGCATAGTATTTCGTGGTGTAAATGTACCACAGCTTTTTTATCCATTCATCTACTGATGGGCACTTGGGCTGTTTCCAGATCTTAGCTATTGTAAATTGTGTTTCTATGAACATGGGGATGCATACATTCTTTCTGATTGGTGTTTCGGGTTTCTTAGGATATATTCCTAGAAGTGGGATCACTGGGTCAAATGGCAGTTCCAATGTTTATTTTTTTGAGGAAACTCCATATTTCCATCATGGCTGCACCAGTCTGCATTCCCACCAGCAGTGTACTAGGGTTCCCTTTTCTCCTCATTCTCGCCAGCACTTGTCATTTGTTAATTTGTTGATAGTAGCCATTCTGACAGGTGTGAGGTGATACCTCATTGTCATTTTAATTTGCAACTCTCTGATGATCAGTGACTTTGAGCATTTTTTTCATATGTCTCTTGGCCATCTGTATGTTCACTTTGGAGAAGTGTCTATTTCGGTCCTTTGCCCATTTTTTAATTGGATTGTTTGTATATTAAACCTTTATCAGATGTATCCAAATATGTTCTCCCATACAGTGGGCTCCCTTTTCATTTTGTTGATGGTTCCTTTTACTGTTCATTGAGAGCAATATTGTGAAAATATTGTACTGTCATTTGTGTAGGATGTAAAAATGCTTAAGTCATATTGATGCTCTCAAGTAATTGTTAATTTGGTGAAATAAGACAGGTACCTGTATTTTGTACAATTTAAAAGGAGCATGTTGAATTAGTGTAAGTATGTAATGTATTTAGAACATGCCTGGCAAAGCACTATGTGTACTCGTTACTATCTAAAATAATGAAGCATAATATGCTAATTGGACCAGATGTCCTTCTGGATGACCTTCCAGACGAAGCCGGGGCTGTGAGGGAAGCCAATGCCGGCAGCTGGAGGAAGGAAGGCCTACTTTTGCACGGATTTCATGCATCAGGCCTCTAGTTTTTACTATATAATTACATGTAATTATATAGTAAGTCTTGTGATAATCAATTAACAGAATTATGGCCTCTTTACCTCCTCAATCCCTTTTCCCCCAGTTCTCTGTCTCAGAGGCACTGATTCTTGCATATATTGCCATAGCTATGCTATGCATCACACACATAGATGTGTGTCTGTTCTGAGAGAGAGACAGACAGACAGACAGACAGACAGACAGACATTCATGTGAGAGCGGAACTTCAATCGGCTGCTTCCTGCACTCTTGCTGACGGGTATTGAGCCTGAAATCCGGGCATGTGCCCTGACCGGGAATCGAACCATCACCCTCTTGGTACACAAATGACACCCAACCAACTGAGCCACACCAGCCAGGGCTCTGTTCTTTTCTTTATATAAATGGTAACATACTGTTTACATGGCTGCATACTTAGCATTTATTCAGTTAATCCTAGGGATTTTTCCATTTTTAGTATATGAGTGCTACTTTATTCTTTTTATCTGTTTCATGGGATTCCATTGTGTGGATGAACCAAAATTTAACTTGTCCTCTATTGATGCTTTTTAAGGTTATTTACAGCTTTTATTCCTGATCACAAGAAACACTGTAATGAATAGCTTTATACATAGTATTTCTTGTATGGGAAGTATACCTGTAGGATAAATAACCTAGTACTTGAGTGGATCAAACAGTATATACATAGGGTGTCCCCCCAGAAATGTATACACATACTTTGAACAGTTATAAAGGCAGTGCTTATTAAAATATCTTTCATTTTCAAAATTGAGCTATCAGCTGTTAAAGTATATACATTTTGGGGGACACCCTGTATATGTACATTTGATTATCATATTCTTAAACAATAGATGCAGGTTTCAGAGATCTGGATTGGAAAACCCAGAAAATTGTGCTTGTTCATTGGGATTCTTGCCTTTACGTTTTTTCACTCTAGGCTAGACTTCGTTGAGTGGCTTGTTTGGCATTGTGCTTATGGAACAATTTCCCCAGCACCTCCCCTAACGCTTGATACCAGGGAGTGCCCATGATATAAAGCAGTAATAAAACCAGAGTACACTTTTTTTTTTCCTGGTACCGTCCACAGAGACAGGAAGAGAACAGGGCGTTTTTTTTTTCTTTTCTTTTCTTTTTTTTTCAGTGTTATGGCTTCTTCTGGGTGTCCTGAAATGTTAAAATACAATTCTGAAACAGTTTTGCTCTTTTACATTAAAGGGCAACTCAACAGAGCAACTTTGAAAAACCTAGGCAGAATTCACCATTTCCTCGGGTCCTAAATCGTTTTCAGTCCCCAGTGGATAGATCCCAGCCTGTCACAAATACGCCCTTTAATGAACAGATTAGAAATGCAGAAATGACTTTGCAGATATTTCTTGTAAAGAGAGAGCTGGATAGGGAGAGGGGAGATAAGATTGTTTTCCTGCGTATGAATTTTCATATCCTTTCTGTGCCCAGATCTGATGGTGGTTACCAGATCAATCACAGCCGCAAGTGTGGATGACTAATGCAGTTATTGAAAGGGTCTTTAATTTCCTGGAGGCAAACACCATTACCCGCCATCTCCATATCATAGACGGAGAGATGCCAGGACTCCTGGGGAGTCAGTGATGGAAGAAATTATAAAACCGATGCAATTACTGAGGAAATGATGAAATGTGTCACGATGAAAGGCTTCAATTCCCTTCAATTTCAGGTTTTGTGATACGCATCCGTGTGGCTGTGTCTTCCACTGTTATTACTTCTCGGCCTCCTGTGTCATCTCACCCTCACCGTGGGAGGATATTTTGCATCAGGCTGCAC